TGGTTATATGTACGTGTATGTATATATATATAATATTATAGAAAAGAATATTAAACAAACTTACAAACATATAAGATAAATTTGTAAAGGTCCAACTTGCTTCAGGTGAAACTTTAGGAATTGAACTGAAAACTATTTTAATACAAAAAATTATAATGATGTGGATAATCCAGGCACCTTTATAATTTACCCAGTTCGAATGTAAGTTTGGTAAAGCTGATTGGTCTAAAGTATCATTGTATGAAGAAGGTTTTTCTTCTGTTATAAAATTTCTTGATCCGTTCCTGGGCATAATGGGATTATACATGTATATTGTTGTTTTAGTGAAGAAATGTGCTAAAGATTAGATATAGTGGGTGTGCGTGCGTAAAAGTTTTTAATGTAATTAAATTTATATATATATTTTTTTTTTTGGATATGGGAATTTTCCCAAATTAATTTTGTGTTATATATATGATGGGAAGTTTTGATACTCGAACGAATCAGAATCACATCAATGTCTACTCAAAAATTATGCGGTACTAGCACATTGTCATCGTATCAAAGTGTGCTGACATATTATTAGTATTAGTGAACTAATTGTGCAGTACATATAATTTATTTATTATGTAAAACAAAATTAAAATATTTATTTTTTTTACACTTTTACACCAACTGCAAAACATTATCACCCTTCCACTACCATTCTCTCACTTTATTCAAATTCGTAAAAAACTTCTTTACGTACTTTTTTATTTAATTCTTGTTTCTTTATTTTTTTCGCCTTTATGTACTAGATGCTACCTGTTTGGATCCTTCATTACTTTTTCTCCTTATTTCCGAAGTTTACTTTGCAAATAACAAATTTATCCATTTATTATGATTATTATAAATAACTTTTTTATTGTGAATGGAGTGTATAAAAAGTTGCCATGTATTATAATTGATTGAAAAGGAGAAAAAAATTATTTATTATAAACTTGGTCTAACTGAATCCGTACACTAAGCCACAAATTTGATTTTCGTGTGCGCAAACATACATCCAAATAAAAAGTTGAAGTAAGACGATACATATCCCTAAAATATATTGTGCACAAATAAATTATTTATGCAACCAAATTAGTTAGGATTAATTGATCACGTGAATGGGCGATGTATCAAAAATTGCTACTTGAGGGATAGATTTTTTTCATGTTAACCAAACTTAAAAAAATAAAAAGTTTTACTCGACTATAATATCGATAATTGCTCTTAAGGCAAGTTCAAGAAAATTACGATGGGTTATCAACATCATTCTGACAATAATTTTTACTGTAGCTACTATGTTATCCCTTTTGCAAATGAGAAGAATTTTTTTAATAGAATCAAATGATGCGGAACACACAAAGATACAAATATCAATAGCTGTTTGCAATTTAATATTATCAATATTATTGACATCCATACTAGATGCTACCTGTTTGGATCCTTCATTACTTTTTCTCCTTATTTCCGAAGTTTACTTTGCAAATAACAAATTTATCCATTTATTATGATTATTATAAATACCTTTTTTATTGTGAATGGAGTGTATAAAAAGTTGCCATGTATTATAATTGATTGAAAAGGAGAAAAAAATTATTTATTATAAACTTGGTCTAACTGAATCCGTACACTAAGCCACAAATTTGATTTTCGTGTGCGCAAACATACATCCAAATAAAAAGTTGAAGTAAGACGATACATATCCCTAAAATATATTGTGCACAAATAAATTATTTATGCAACCAAATTAGTTAGGATTAATTGATCACGTGAATGGGCGATGTATCAAAAATTGCTACTTGAGGGATAGATTTTTTTCATGTTAACCAAACTTAAAAAAATAAAAAGTTTTAATCTTTTCCAATTATAATCATAAAATAATATAAAAAAAGAGAATTAAATTTTTAAGAGAGGGAATTAAAGCAAATCATTTCCAAAAAAATTAAAATCAATTTTTAATATTTATAAGTCATGGGATGATTGGATGGTTGATAGGGAGAGGTTACTATGTAAATATATGCAGATATATGTAAAAAAAATAATATAGTATTATATTTATTATTATCAACAATTATAATCAATCACATTCATTCATTGATTCTTCGCCAATATATCTTTACCATCTGTCAATATGTTTTCAAAGTCCAGATCAAAAGATTCATTCTTTCACGATATTTTAGGGTGAATGTGAAATCATCAAGATTTCTCATAAATTGAATCTAAACAAAAATAAAGTTTAAACAAAATTTATATAACAAGTATAACCAAAAAACCTTCTATAATTTAGGATTAAATGTCTATTTGCTAAATTAACTAGCAGTGTTACACTATTTATATGAGCTTGTACAAATGTTTTGGTGTAGTACAAAAAAAATTTCCATAAAAAATTCATTTTTTTCAAAATAAAATTCCTTGAAATATAAAAGTTACATAAAAAAAAAAATAATATATATATAATATACATACATATATAGTAACATTTAATAGTAACAACTTATTTATTTAGTTAAAATTTTCAAAAAAAAAATGGTAGAACCAATATTATCTACTTTTAAAAACTTTATGCCTTTCGGTTCTATTGGAGCAACCACTGCAACTATAAATAATAATAATACAGATAACAATAATTACACGACCACATTAACCTCTACAATGTCAACAATTGCATCAACGACACCACCAATAACCACAACTCAAATAACACCCTTAACATCAACTACTCCAATAACAGAACCAACAAATCCTCTTCCTATAACCCCTAATATTACATCATTGTCTGCAACCACTACTCCTATCACCACCACTACCACCACTACCTTGTCAACGCTTAATACATTAGAAATTGAAAATAAAACCTTTGCTCAACACGTGCAAACACTTCAAAAAATAGAACCTCCAAAAACAGCTATTTATCATGCCCTATCAACCGATTTACCCATACCTAATCTTTTAGAAGTTTTTCAGAATTCTGCTAAAAAAATTGACAACTGGTTGGAATATGCTAATGTTACTATACTTGCATTAGACTTTGATATAAAGGAAGGTATTAATGTGAAAAATGTCAATGAAATGGACTTACTAATACTTCAATATGCTTCTAATATTGACTTATTACAAGAACTTTTACAATCAACTTTATCAAAACTAAACAGTGATGACGATCAAAATTATAAGGATATTAAAGCTACTTTCGATAGAATAAATTCAGATTGGTTAGAAGTGAAAACTTTTTTTGCAAAAATAAAAAAAGAAATATCAGTGTCAAAACAAAGACGTGAACTTTTAGATAAAATGGATCAAATTTTAACATCCATAGAAGAATTAAATACAAATATATTTGAATTTCAGGAACAAAGACATAGTGGTGGTTTTGGTGATAATAACAATAATAGCGATTTATTCCCTTTTCCTAGACTAAGTTCAAGTCCTTCCTTAAGGAATAATAGATCAATGACTCCTCTTACTCCAACTGGTATAATAAATAACAATAATGGTAATAGTAACAATAATAATGAAAATGTTGATGCTGCTCTAATCAAATTGGATTCGAAGTTGGAACCTTTATCTGCACGTGTTGATTACTTAAAATCCCGTCTAACCGGCCATAATGCTCCTTCAGATCCTAATGGTATATTGGAAAAAAAATTTAATACGTTGAATAAAAAATGGGAGTCTTTGAAAAATGAAATGACATCAATAAGAGAAGAGTTGAAGGAGGATAAATGGTCAGGTCTTTTTAAACAAGTTGCGGGTAATGCTAATCAAATGATGGATTCGCTTGAAAGATCTGTTAAACAATGTAAAGATTTTATGTACAGAGCCATTAACAGATCAGATTCTCCAAGATATCCACAACGAAATAATAATCAAAGATCTTATTCAAGTGATTCTCTTCATCATCTTCAACAACAAAATAATATACAACCACAAGTAGCAATAAATCCTAAAAATTATCAAAGGCTTTATAAAAATTTTGATGCTAAACGAAAATATTATGTGCCAGCTGTTACAAAACTTTTAACCATGCTTGCTAATGGTATTAATAATCAAATGACACAAGATCCAGAATCGATTGATAAATACAATGCGATGAAAGAAAGATGGGATAATATACTTGATGGTGTTGCGGATGTTCAGCGAGACATGCCCACTCTAGAATATATGTTAGATGCTTCATTGACCTCAAGTACCTCCCCCCCTTCCTCAATACCCTCCTCGATAGCTTCATCACCGCCAATTTCTCCTAACATGAGGCCAACAGTTAGGTCCTCCAGGTTTTCACCTGAACTATTACCGAACTCACCATCAAGAAATTATCGGTCTGTATCCCCTTATAGAACAGTCATATCCCCTTCAGAATATGATCGTTCTTTATCACCTCCCACAACTAGTCCATCAATAGCCAGTCATTCATATCTTACTCCAAATGGTCATAGGCCTGTCAGTCCACCATCAAATATGTCATCAGACAGACAATGGAATTCTCATAATCAACATCAACAGCAGCAGCAATATCATCACCAACAACAACAACAATACAATCATAATTATTATGATCATTATGATCATCATCATAATCAAGGTTATGGTAACATTAGTCATCACGGTAATAATAATAATTACCATGGTGGTGGTGGCAGTAATTATCATGGAAATAACTACCATCGTGCATTATCACCTCAACCAAGGAACGGTAGATCAAAATCATCTCACAGGTCAGAATCACCACCACCAATGCGTCCAAATTCTACCAGACCAGTAACACCAGACCGCTCTTATGCATCAGCAATACCACGTCCTGTTACAAGCATGGGTTTAGATCACAGATCACAATCAAGAACTGGTATGAGATCTATATTACCAAAAGCTAGCACGCCTCAACCAGGAATGACATCGACAATGTCTCGTCTAGGGATGGTTTCACCTCCATTGCCACCAATCACTCCAACATCAAGGCGTAACCCAATACGGTCGCCAACGCCATCATCAGTGACAAGTAGCACTTCAAGACCAATAACACCAGAAACTTATGATGATTATCATCATAATAATGGTGGTGGTAGTAGAGCAATGACTCCATTAACGGATATTTTATCGAAAATGTCCATGTTTTCTACAGAAGTACCTTCAAAATACATACCATTAAAAAGTGACCCATTGGATGTTGAGGTGGCAAAGGTGGTGAACTCATCACCATTAACTGTTAAGGTGGAAAGAGTATCAACTGGCGGAGGAAAGTATTATTTTGGTAATGAGACTCTTGGACGTGATAGAAAAGTGCATCTTTGTAAATTGGTGAATTTTGCGAGTGGCCGAAATAAAGTTATGGTTCGCGTTGGCGGAGGTTGGAAAGATTTAGACATGTTTTTATTAGATCATAGTTTAACAAACGTTGGAATTTAGATGATACTTTAATATCATTATTATCAACCAAATTTTATAGAATTGTATAGTTCTTTGTTCTATTAGCATTTATTTATAATAATTATTAAAATTTTTTTATTATCATCATTACGTATATCACATATTATATATATATTGCTCTTTTAATATTAAAAAGGAAAAACAAAAAAAATCAATTTTTGTGTACATATAGAAGTCTTTTATATATATATATATCATATCACATCATATCATATATATATTTTTTCTTATATATAATTTATTAAAAAGATAAAATATATAATATATATATATAATTATATATATAAAGTATAATATTATACAAATTTTTATTGTTAATGAAAAAAAAAAAATCAAATATGCAAAAATTAATCAAATAATTGTTGTTAATGCCTGTGCATACTTTTAATGACATTTCATATGTATATTTATAAATATATATTTGCATAAATATATATATGTATGAGTAAATGCATACATGTATAAGAAAAAAAAATTTTTATTATAATTATTATTATTTTCTTTAAATCATTTTCTGCCTTCACTCCTCTTTTCATTTTTTGGTTTTCAATATCAATGTAAATCTATTTATGATGATTACATATTTTTATAAACAATCTTAATAATCTTCATCTTCCTGTTCCAAACTTTTCCTTGTATGTTCTTCAATATCAACAACTTCCCAAGGATAAACCAACCAACGATCAGGTGTTTCTTTTGCAGCGAAATAACGATTCTCACTTAAAATTGTAGGATCTGGCAATTCTATCTTTTTTTCTTTTATTTTGTTATGAAGAACAAAAACTGCAAGTTTTGTTTCAGGTATTTTTGAATCGTTATCTTTATTATTAATTGTTTGAATATATCCAAGTTTTTCCTCTTCAATATCTTTTAACAATTCTTGTATCGCATATGCTAAAGTTGTCCTAGTGTCATCAACTTCATCAACTATAAGAATATTTTTTCCAAGTAAATTACGTTTATTTGTTAATTTTGACGATGTTGTTGACGCTAATGATGGCGATGAGTCGCCAAAATGAAGCCATTGAGTTTTTATCACTTGAGTGCCAATTGTTGATAACGCATCCGGAGAAGTAGAAGATGACGATAGATTATTTATAAGGCTTGGGTCAATATCAATATCTTCATATAGAGATAAACCGATTGCTTGAATTGGCATATTTTTGTTGTTTTGTTGTTTTAAGAAGGTTCGCTTTAGAAATTGATTTATTTTGTTATTATTAATGAAAATGTTTGAAAATTAACATATAAAAATTTTTATCTTTTTATAATATATAACTTTTTAGCTCATTAATTATTTTAATCATTTAAAATAATATTTATTAACATTGTTCAGGGCTTGCATTCAAAAGTTTTTATGTAGGGCTATTATATCATAGTATATAAGTGTTCAAGGAAAAGTTATAAAAAGAAGGCTTTGAAACCAATATTTACCAGAATTCGAGCAGGTATGAATCCTCCACCGCCAATTGCAATCATAAGATCTGGTTTAAATACATCGCTTATATGAAAACGTTCCACTGCATCCTTTATTAATTGATGAACTTGATTATAAGAAATATAAATCTTTGTATCTTTTACCATATTTTTTAATCAATGTTAATGCAGATTGATAAACCGATAAGAATGACTTTTGGTGAGAGTTTATTTAACTATCTATTCGTTGAAAATAGTGGGCGTGATTTTTTAATTTGTATCACAAATTTTTTATTACACAAAATTAATAATTCCTTTTAAAAATTTTCAATAATGCTATTACTATACATTTCATTAAAAGGCTAAAAATCATCATCAAATACTGATTAGAGGTGCTCCTTTTTTTCCAAAGTAAGGTTATTTGTATATTAATATAGTATTCTTTTTTATCTATAAAAAATGCGTTATACGGACAAAATTACGCGTACAGTGAACAGCAAAAGCTAAGGGGGCGGCAAATTTTCAAATTATCACGTGTACAAATTTTAGCCAATAAAATTCAAGAAAATCATTGTGATACGAATGGACTAGGAGTTTTAGCCAATAAAATTTAAGAAAATTGCAAAATATCACGTGAAAATATCTTCGACCAATGAAATAGAGAGAAATTTATAACGGGCGGCAAATTTTGGAACTTATATATGAAATATTACAAAATAGTGAAGTTTTAAACTCTTGCTAGTAAGTTTAAATTATTCCATGACTTCTAAGTAATCGTTTGGTGCAATTATTTCTTAAAAATGATCGCCCCTGAGGAGCAGATCCCATTTTTGGTAAGTCAATAATACTTGATAGCTTTTCCTGTATGTATATAATATGAAATATATCTTGTAGACGTGGTAAAAGCAAGGACAAAATTGTACATTAATCTTGATCAGCGAAATCACCATTGAAAGTTTTAGGATTAATGTTAGAAATGCATCATCGTCAAAATAAATTTCCCAAAAATGAAGCAATTAAAAAAATTCTTTGCTTGAATGACAATGAAAATGTGTTCCAATAATAATAATTTACAATAATTATTAATATCACAATAATTTATTATTTATTTTACATTATAGCATTTATTTATTATTATTTATTATTTATTATTTGTTTTATTAATATTTTTCTTATTTAATTTGCATTGGTTACTTATGTAGTACTAGGTCGACAAGGTAAAATAGTAGATTTGGTCTAATTAAAAAGTATATGTATAAACGATGTTTTTTGAAGGTTAACTTTTCTTGAATAAAAGAAAATAATAACAAGTTTCGACTCAAATCATACCTAAAACTATTCATTAGTAAATACCCTATAGTGCGCGTTATCGAAGGGTTTTTGCGCCGCATAGCCAAATTTCAAATCTCAAAAATAGGGAGTTACAATATATTCAAGATATTTTTGGATATCACGCCATCCTATGAAAGCACATGGCCAAACCAGAATCATTGCTAAAAAATTTATTAGTTACATATAGGGATTTTTCTAGTAAAAACCGGACACGAACATTATAAAATTTTTTCAAGAAAACACCCCTGAAAGATTTGTTATACGTACAGTCAAACCTTGTCACAGCGGATAAACGGGACACATAAGAGTTGTGACAAGGTTACTATTACGCGGATTTTATTTATTAATAAAAATCTTGTGTATTTGACAATGAACACTAATAAATAAAAGTTCGTGTAAAATATTAAAAAATTTTAAATTTTATTTTGTTTTAAATAAGGAAATTATTTATATTTGTTGTGAAATTAATTTTCTTGTTGCTTTAATCAAATACAAATCAAAATAAAGAATACTTATTTTTTGTAATTGTGGTTAGTGTTGCTAGCTGACTAGACATAGCCGCGACCAATGATTTTATATCTAGTCGCGACTAGAAATTTTTCAAGTCAGCATTACTATTACTATTTCTATGGGTGTTCCTTGTTACAAATCAAAACTAATTAGCTGATCAGAAAGAACAACAAATTTGTAAGATTTTTTTAAAAAAAATTTCCAACAACAAAGTGTTCATCCAATTCAAAAAGTAGCTTCTACTGATAATGACAATAGCAAAGTACTTACCCGGTTCAAGGATAGCTTCTTATACTAATAATAATGAACAATAACAACAAATATTTATTCAGTTCAAAGGACAACTTCTTCTACTAATAATGACAAACAAAAACAACAAAGTATTTATCCCAGTTCAAAGGGAAACTTTTTCTACTAATAATAATAAATAGCAACAACAAAATATTTATCCAATTCAAAAGGCAACTTCTTATGCTAATTTCAAAATATTTCAATTCATCATCGTCAAAACTTTCATCAAATTCATCTGAACCAGTCACTTCTTGAAATTGATTTAAAATTTTCATTATGTAGATTAGTACCAAAGATAGATATGGAAACAACTAGGAAATTTTCCGCTCAAAGTTAAAAGTATTGTACTACAAGGAACAGTAACAGAACAACTTTGAACACCTCTTATATATTTCAGCTGTAAATCATTAATATCCCTGTAATTCGACTTAATAGAAGTAACAGCATGAAATGCAGTCATTTTGGATGATTGACTTACTAATGGTATTTTGTTTTGAGTCAAAGGACTTCCATGAACATTCTAACAAAATGCATATCAGAGCTGTGTTCACCACCAGGAGGTACTGCTTCTCTTTTTCAACCACCTTCCAACTCATCCCAAAGATGTTTAATAGGTTGATATCAGGGAATTGTGAAGGCCAATCTGATAATACTTTTATAAAAAAATGATAATTGGCTTTCCTTGAACATGAATGCCTTTATATACTATAGATCTATTACAATGTTAATTAAATACATTTGATGTTGTGACTTCTAAGTAATCGTTTGGTGCAATTATTTCTTAAAAATGATCGCCCCTGAGGAGCAGATCCCATTTTTGGTAAGTCAATAATACTTGATAGCTTTTCCTGTATGTATATAATATGAAATATATCTTGTAGACGTGGTAAAAGCAAGGACAAAATTGTACATTAATCTTGATCAGCGAAATCACCATTGAAAGTTTTAGGATTAATGTTAGAAATGCATCATCGTCAAAATAAATTTCCCAAAAATGAAGCAATTAAAAAAATTCTTTGCTTGAATGACAATGAAAATGTGTTCCAATAATAATAATTTACAATAATTATTAATATCACAATAATTTATTATTTATTTTACATTATAGCATTTATTTATTATTATTTATTATTTATTATTTGTTTTATTAATATTTTTCTTATTTAATTTGCATTGGTTACTTATGTAGTACTAGGTCGACAAGGTAAAATAGTAGATTTGGTCTAATTAAAAAGTATATGTATAAACGATGTTTTTTGAAGGTTAACTTTTCTTGAATAAAAGAAAATAATAACAAGTTTCGACTCAAATCATACCTAAAACTATTCATTAGTAAATACCCTATAGTGCGCGTTATCGAAGGGTTTTTGCGCCGCATAGCCAAATTTCAAATCTCAAAAATAGGGAGTTACAATATATTCAAGATATTTTTGGATATCACGCCATCCTATGAAAGCACATGGCCAAACCAGAATCATTGCTAAAAAATTTATTAGTTACATATAGGGATTTTTCTAGTAAAAACCGGACACGAACATTATAAAATTTTTTCAAGAAAACACCCCTGAAAGATTTGTTATACGTACAGTCAAACCTTGTCACAGCGGATAAACGGGACACATAAGAGTTGTGACAAGGTTACTATTACGCGGATTTTATTTATTAATAAAAATCTTGTGTATTTGACAATGAACACTAATAAATAAAAGTTCGTGTAAAATATTAAAAAATTTTAAATTTTATTTTGTTTTAAATAAGGAAATTATTTATATTTGTTGTGAAATTAATTTTCTTGTTGCTTTAATCAAATACAAATCAAAATAAAGAATACTTATTTTTTGTAATTGTGGTTAGTGTTGCTAGCTGACTAGACATAGCCGCGACCAATGATTTTATATCTAGTCGCGACTAGAAATTTTTCAAGTCAGCATTACTATTACTATTTCTATGGGTGTTCCTTGTTACAAATCAAAACTAATTAGCTGATCAGAAAGAACAACAAATTTGTAGTTAAAATTAATCATGAAATGCGTATTGATGCTAGTGTTAATTCTGATAAAGAAAGTAGAAAAGAGTAT